GTGAGTCTTAGTGAGTAACGAAGTGAAAACTAGTGAAACTAGTGAGTGCTTAGTGAAAGCCTCTAACTTAGCAGCAATAGGTCTATTTCATTTTTAGGCAGACGGGAAATCATGGGAAAAGGAAATTCTGGTACAGACCTGCAGATAATTGGGGTGGGAGTGGGAAGGGGTATGCAGTCCCTGTGCTGGAGACTGAAACGATTTGGTCTCGTGAGACTGGGAGAGGGAGGGCTTGTCATTTGAATGTTTGGGACTTGGAAATTCTTTTATGTGGTTAATTAATATGTGAATGTGTAGATGCATTATCCATATGTTTGGCCATAAGAACCTATTTCAGCAGAAACTCTGGAATGATAGTGAGCTCATTAGCACCTCCTTGATATATAGAAAGAGTTACATACAGTTGTAAAAGCAGTGGAAGATCACTGTAGCAGGGTTGAACAAATAAGAATGGTGTTATGAGCAGCAAGGAATGTTGTATGGTGGGATTTTCCTTGAACTTGAAGCCCAGTATATATATTTTTATCTCCAGTATCTGGTGTACTGCTTAGTAATCAATTGGCCTTTGATTGAATGGGTGGATGAATAAATCCCTAATACTCATCCTTTTTAAAACCTGACTTATGGGCCAGTGAAGAACCCTTGAGACTAAATTCACTTTGGGGGTCAAACAGGGTCAGAATTATCTGGATGACCTTTAGGTTCTTGTATAGATTGGTAGTCACTAGTCAAACATAGTTGATGGTTGCCGATAAGGAAAAGAATTTGGAGCCTTAAGGTAGAAAATAACTGACTCTTGTTTTGTTAGTTTTGAACAAGTTTTGCAAGGAGAAAACTGACGTTATGGGCTAGAAGGAGCAGTTGGTCTTAGTGTACTGATGAATAGTAAAATTTGTAGATTTGATGAATACTGCTTAAAAATCTATGGTGTTTTAGTTCTCTGCGTGTGTGTGTGTGTGCGTGCGTGCGCACGGTCAGTCATGTCTGATTTTTTGCTGCACTATGGACTGTAGTCTTCCAGGCTTCTCTGTCCATGGAGTTTTCCAGGCAAGAATACTGGAGTCTTTTGCCATTTCCTACTTCAGGGGATCTTCCCAACCCAGAGACTGAACCCACGTCTCTTGCATCACCTGAATTGGCAAGGAGATTGTTTACCACTGTGCCACCTGGGCATCCCTTTTAGTCCTACTTCTTACACCTTTATACACATATTCCTGCATAACAGATTGATGATTTCTACATGAGAGAGTGATGTTGAATGAATATACAGATGAGTGAATTCACACGTGCTTTTGCTGAGTGTAACTTTATTTCTTTATCTACTTGTTTGTGTCCTAACACTTGATGTAACTAATTCTGCCTCATGCATGCTTCGGTGTCTGTTTTGTATTGGCATCACCTCACATGGACTCTCACTGTACATAAGGTGACAGTAAACAGCTGGCGTGTTCTGCATGTCATTGTGTCCTCACTGTTTCTTGTTTCCAGTGTCCTGTCATTATTTTTCCTCCTTTTACCGCTGTCTTCTCTCTGGACTTGGAGGCCTTCTTTCTTCCTTTTGGATTACTGATTTTATTTCTTAATGGTTTAAGAATTTACTAACTGCTAAGTACTATGTCAAGGTTGTATATTGTCAGCCTGCTTATTTAACTTATATGCAGAGTGCACGCATGCATGCTAAGTCACTTCAGTTGTGTCCAAATCTGTGTGATCCTATGGACTGCAGCTTGCCAGGCTCCTCTGTCCATGGGATTCTCCTCAGGCAAGAATACTGGAGTGGGATGCTATGCCCTCCTCCAGGGGATCTTCCCTACCCAGGGATCAAACCCATATCTCTTACATATAACCTGCATTGGCAGACAGGTTCTTTACCACTAACACCACCAGGGAAGCCCTATATGCAGAGTACATCATGTGAAATGCTGGGCTGGTTGAATCACAAGCTGGAGTCAAGATTTCCAGGAGAAATATCAACAGTCTCAGATATGCAGATGATATCACTTTAATGGCAGAAAGCAAAGAGGAACTAAAGAATCTCTTGATGAAGGTGAAAGAGGAGAGTGAAAAAGCTGGCTTAAAACTCAACATTTAAAAAACAAATATCACGGCACCTGGTCCCATTACTTCATGGCAAATTGATGGGGGAAAAGTGGAAACTGTGTATATATTCTGTCTTGGGCTCCAAAATCACTGTGGACAGTGACTGTAGCCATGGAATTAAAAGATGCTTGCTCCTTGGAAGAAAAGCTGTGACAAACCTAGACAGCATATTAAAAAGCATAGACATCACTTTGCCACCAAAGTCCATCTAGTCAAAGCAATGTTTTTTTCCAGTAGTCATATATGGATGTGAGAGATGGGCCATAAAGAAAGCTGAGTGCTAAAGAATTGAAGCTTTTGAATTGTGGTGCTAGAGAAGACTCTTGAAAATCCCTTGAAATGCAAGATCAAACAAGTCAATCATAAGGGAAGTCAACCCTGAATATTCATTGGAAGGACTGATGTTGAAGCTGAAGCTCCAATACTTTGACCCCTTGATATGAAGAGCCAACTCTTTGGAAAAGACCCTGATGGTAGGAAAAACTGAGGGCAAGAGGAGAAGAGGGTGACATCGGATTAGATGGTTGGATGGTATCACTGACTCAATGGACATGAGTTTAAGCAAACTCAGGGTGATAATGAAGGAAGCCTGGCATACTGCAGTCCATGGGTCACAGAGAGGCAGGGACAGTTTAGCAACTGAACAACAGCTATATAGTCATCCCTGGATATCTGCATGGAGGGGGGCACGAGGGAGGATTGATAAAAAAAAAGATGCTCAAGTCCCTTAAATAAAATGACACAGTTCTTGCATAGAACACCCCACCCTACCCTCTTGTATACTTTTAATCATCTCAATTACTTATAATGCCTTATATGATGGAAATGCTGTGTAAATGATTGCTGGAGTGCAGTGAATTCTAGTATACCTTTGGGAACTTTATGGAATTTTCCCCCAAAATATTTTGGATCTGCATTTGGTTGAATCCATGAATTTGGAGCCCAGGATGCAGAGGGCTGACTACATCATGAATCATACTGGTCACCAGGACCACAGAGATACACAGGGCGTGGCCTTTCTCTTGCAGAAGTTGTAAACATGTCTGCACATCACCAGTAAGACGTGGTGTGTGTGGCACAATACAGAGCAAATACAAGGTTCTGTGTTGTTCTAGAGAGAGCCTGGGTATAGTAGGGGTTGAGGTGGGCAAGGCAGGCTTTGCAGCAGATGTTGTATCTTTACTTGTCAGTGTTCTTCTGTTGTATCATATTCCAAAAGCAAAATTTATCAAACCCTCAGCAGATTGACCAGTCTGTCATCAAATCTTCTTTCCCTGCTAAAAGAAGTTTTCTTGGAGGAACTAGTCTTTGCTAATTAATCCCATCAATAGAAATGCCTACCTTTCAGAGTCTAAAAGTCTGTTCTGTACCTCTGTGTCTCTTTTTCTATTTTGCATAAAGTAATTAGCCTCCAACTAATAAAAATAAATGGAAAAAAATAAAATAAAAATAAAATGCAAAAAAAAAAAAAAAAAAAAGAAATACCTACCTTTCAGAATAATCAGTGAGTTCAAAACAGGAACATCCCTTCACTTAAAAGTTGATCAGGTTCTGTCATGTACAGCAGCTTTTGGTTGGGCTTTTCTGTTTAAACAACAAATAATCTTGAAGGGATTTTACCTTCTGAGGACTAGACTCAAACCCAAGATAGGGTGATCTACTCAAATTTCTTCATGCACTTAGAAAATGAAGTATTTAGGCTGTTTTGAAACATCTTTGTGAATGATAGAGACATTAAAATAAAAATTAAAAATCATTCAGATTCTTCATAAAGCATAAGTTTGTGTTTTGGTCAGCCTATAAAATTCTCTACCTTATGTTAAAATGTAGAAAATCATCTCCCATAAAGAAGCAAATTTAGAATTACAAATTTTTAGCTTGAGATTTTCAAGGGTAAAAGAAGACACTTGTAAAGATAAAGAAGCCTGGAGCTATTTTTGTATCAAAAAGAAAATTCAGGAGAATCAAAATCTTTTATTTTTGTTCCATGACTTAATAATTCAACTGTACTTTTCTTTCTCCCAAAGCAGATAGACATAGACAATGATCGCAATAGGTAAATAATTGGTACTTTTTCTTATAAAAATCTTATAACAGTTTTAGGATCAAATTCCTTCCAAATTGAATTTGATTAACTTCTGAATAAGAAATACCATTTTTAAGTAAAATTATTGCATTCCAGAGAGTATTATAGTTTATTTGGCATGTGGGATCTGAGTTCCCTGAGCAGGAATTGAATCTGTGCCTGGCTACAGTGGAAGCTCAGAATCCTAGCCTCTGGATTGCCAGAGAAGTCCCTCCAGAGGGTATTATAAACAGCTAAAAAAGAAGAAAGGGAAATCATATTGATTTAAACCATGCTGGAATAAATATTTTGCACATCATCAGTAGCCAATAATGGTTTCCCTGATAGCTCAGTTGGTAAAGAATCTGCCTACAATGCAGGAGACCTCAGTTCGATTCCTGGGTCAGGAAGATCTGCTGGAGAAGGAATAGGCTCCCCACTCCAGTGTTCTTGAGCTTCCCTTGTGGCTCAGCTGGTAAAGGATCTGCCTGCAATGCAGGAGACCTGGGTTCGATCGCTGGGTTGGGAAGAACCCCTGGAGAAGGGAAAGGCTACCCACTCCAGTATTCTGGCCTGGAGAATTCCATAGACTATCCAGTCCATGGGGTCACAAAGAGTCAGACATGACTGAGAGACTTTCACTTTCACTTTGATAGCCAATAATATTTGGAAGATTTGGAGATGCTCTGGTTTGCATCGCACATATACACTTTAAAATACCTTATGAATTAAGTCAAGCTTTACCTCAAACAGATGCTAAGAAATATGAAAATATGTAGAGTTTTGCTCTATTTAAGATCATTATCTAAAAACTGCTTGGTTTTTGTTTTTCCAGAGAGCACAGTCAGATGAACTGGAAAAAATTGAAAAGCATGGTCGGTCCTCCAAAGACAAGGAGAATGCCAAGTCTCTGGACAAACCTGAGCAGTAAGCACACCGTGGGCCGTGGGCAGCAGGCGGGCCTTGGGGGGCTCTCTCCATTGGGAGAATGCAGTATCTTCTGTGCATCAGCGTCATGAACGACGTGAGGATGAATATGTTTATGGGCATCGTCTTTTTCCTCTTAACTTGGCTTTATTTCCTTAGGTTCCTTTATGAACTGTCACTAATCCCCAACTTTTCAGAGCGAGTCTTTTGCATCCTGTTTCAGTCCACATTTTCAGAAAGCATTTGCTCAATTCGGCGCAAACTGGAGCTGCTACAGAAGTTGTGTGAGGTGGGTGCTTGGGTTCTAATACTTAATTGTGCTTAGTCATGTTCATATTTCAAACAAGTTGTCTTTTATTTACAGTAAATACCTCCAACTGAGTACCATTTGAAGACATTTTCTTGATTTCCCCTCAACAAATAGTGATTCCAACCAAATGCTTCAGGAATAGCTATATGACTGGACAGAAGAGAAATATTCTTCTGAAAATAAAGAACAAATGCTTGGCAGAAATGACCAATATTAACATCTAAAACAGTTTATCAAAATTTAATAGTACCATTTATTCTGGTTGTGGTAAATTATGTTGAAAAGTAGCATTATGTCATTAAAGAGATTTTCAGAGGAAGTGATACACAAATTCAAGTTAAACTGTGTGTTTTGGAAGAAGTGAGTGTGAACCTTTCAAGGATAAATCTAAATTTGGAAATTAAACTTTATAACTGTGTTTCAGTTTCCCACACGTTATGCTAAAAATGTTACCCAGAGGCAGGCGCAGTTGGACTGATGGCAGTGATATTATACTGTGGTGGTTCTCATGTTATGGGTGTATTTGGTTTCCTTGCAATTACACCACAGAAGCATCCTAGGCTGGTACCTCTCAGCTGAAGAAGCACAACCTGCATGCTGTTAGCAGTGCAGCTTTTTCAAAGTTATCTTTGGAGACGCTGTTCTTAAATAAACCTAAAATGAGCACTGATGAAGTTTGGATATGACCCATAATTATTAGTATGATATGAATATCTGCCACTGACTTATGAAAATTCAAACAGTAAGTGAGAAATTCTTCTTTATCCTGTTTTACAGACATTAAAACATGGCTCAGGGGTTATGCAGGTTTTGGGTTTGGTTCTTGCCTTTGGCAACTACATGAATGGTGGAAATAATACTCGGGGACAGGCAGACGGTTTTGGATTAGATATTCTCCCGAAGCTGAAAGATGTTAAAAGCAGTGTAAGTATTTTGAGTGAGTGAATGTAGCAAACTGAGGAGTGGATGTCTGCTTTGTAATAAGTTGAACTGTAAACCGGTGTGATAAATGTTTATGCTCCAAGGTCAAAAGTTCTATTATGTTCTGAGCCAGATAAAGGTGATGGCCACCATATATTTGTGATCAAGAGAAGAATAATTTTCCTAAAGTGAGTAATTTTGAATCCTGTATCTAATGAATAACTGAATAGACAGTATTTTAAAATAAAAGTAATTTTTACTTCCTTTACCATGTCTTCTAATATTTATATATTTGGATCTGAGGACTAGTTAATTTTTATGAATTAGACAGTATATCCATCACTTTCTTCTCTCCATGTTAAGCAAGTGACCCCTAACAGGCCCAAATTTTAAAAACAAAACAAAGATGAGTGAAAGTCACTCAGTTGTGTCTGACTCTTTGTGACCCCATGGGCTATACAGTCTGTGGAATTCTCCACGCCAAAATACTGGAGTGGGTAGCCTTTCCCTTCTCCAGGGGGTCTTCCCAACTCAGGGATCAAACTGAGGTCTCCCACATTGCAGGCAGATTCTTCACCAGCTGAGCCACAAGAGAAGCCCAAGAATACTGGAGTGGGTAGCCTATCCCTTCTCCAGTGGATCTTCCCAACCTAGGAATTGAACTGGGATCTCCTGCATTGTAGGTGGATTATTTACCAACTGACCTATCAGGGAAGCCCAAAATTTAAAAGATGACTCTCTTTTTCTCCATATAATCTTCTCTTTGATATTGGTATATATGGGAACATCTAAGCCCTCTTTGTGAAGCTTCTTTAATCTCTATCCTTTAGAAATAAATTCTATTATTTTCAAAGTTTACAATGTCAGACTTTAGCCACTCTAGTGGTTTCCTTGATCTTATATTTCTACCAACACTCTCATAATCTCTACCAACACTCTCATAATCTCTTAGGCATTAATTTTAAGCAAGCACAAGTAGAGAAGTAGAATTTTTTTTTAATTAAGCTTCCTAAAGGATGTTCTCATGCCTACCAGTATCAAAGAGAGGATTATATGGAGAAAAAGAGAATCATCTCTTAAATATTTTTTTCTCCATATGATCTTCTTCCTGATATTGGTAGGCATGGGAACATCTAAGCCCTCTTGCAAGCATAATTATTTTTCTTAAAATTAACATCTAAGAGATTATGATTATGGTTAAAGTCTGACATTGTAAACTTTGAAAATAATAGAATTTATTTCTAAAGGATAGAGATTAAAGAAGCTTCACAAAGATCTATATGATGAAGGAAATCTTTTTAAAATATTAAATTCAAGTGAGGGAATTCCCAGGTGGCACTAGTGATAAAGAATGTGCCTGCCAGTGAAGGAGACATAAGAGACCCTGGGTCAGGTTCAATTCCTAGGTCGGAAGATCCCCTGGAGGAGGGCATGGCAACCCACTCCAGTATTCTTGCTGAAGCATCCCATGGATAGAGAAACCAGGCAGGCTACAGTCCACTGGTTGCAAAGAGTCGGACATGACTGGAGCGACTTAGCATGCCCTCCTGCAAGTTTAAGTAAACAATTGGCCTATGAAAATGAAAATATAGAGAATTGTCCTCCTAGATAAGGAAATAATCTCCCTGACAGAAGAGAGATACTTATTTTGCTTTTTCCTGCCAGTCAACAACTAACTGGTTTATTTAGTCATTACACTCATATGTTCATTTGACATTCTTTTATCCAGCTTCTATGAAATGCCAGACACTGTGGAGAAGGGAATGGCAATCCACTCCAGTATTCTTGCCTGGAGAATCCCATGGACATAGGATCCTGGTGGGCTACAGTCCATGCAGTCACAAAGAGTCAGACACGATTGAATGACTACCGCATATTAATATATACAACATCAAATCATGTTGCACACTCAAAACTAATCCAATGTTAAATGTCAATGATACCTAATTTCTAAAAAACTATGTGATAAACTGAAAAAAAAAAAAAGAAATGCCAGACACTGTACTTTTCCAAAATTGGGAAAAGCATAGTCCTTTCTTGGAACACAAACAGCATATAACTTTTGTGATTTTTATGGTTCTGTTTGTTCAAATGCCTTTTTATTTGTATGACACACATTTTCTCAGGAACCTTCAATATGTCAACCTGATAAATCACATTTATTCAAAATTTATTTATTCTTATAAACACATGGTAGGTTTTGAATAGTTCTTTTTTTAAAGATTTATTTATTTATTTTTATTTTTGTGCTGGATCTTCGCTGCTGCACATGCAGTCTTTCTCTAATTTCAGCGAGCGGGGGCTACTCTCCAGTTGCAGTGCACAGGCTTCTCATTGCAGTGGTTTCTCTTGTCCTGGAGCACAGGCTCTAAGTGTGCAGGCCTCAGTAGTTTCAGCTCTCGGGCTCTGGAACATGAGCTCAGTAGTTGTGGCACACGGGCTTAGCCCTACAGCATGTGGAACCTTCCCGGATCGGGAATCCAACGTGTGCCCCCAGCATTGGCTGGTGGATTCTTAACCACTGGACCACCAGGGAAATACTGAATAGTTCTTAACAACTGATTGTTGGATTGGAAAAAGTAACTTTTGCAAATAACATTAGAATATAAATATAATCAATAAAATGTTACTTATAAAAATGAATCTGAAAGAGATTCTTATGGTCATAATTATATATGTATAAGGGATTATTTGTTTTTTGTATTGGTTAATATATCTTATTCAATCCTCCTATAAGTGAAATTTCATTAATTTAAATAATTAAGGAATGATATGGATAAAAATAATCAAGAAGTAAGATTTTTTTAATAATTTAACTTGCATTCTCACAAGGGCTATGCAAAGTCTATTTGGTTCTTTCTCTATAAAATAAAGATAACTATGTCTGTATAGTTTCATAGACTTGCACGTGTGGAACTGTTACTCAGATCACTCAGAATTACCTAGGCATTTAATAAGTGTTTTGTTAATTTACTGAGGTATTGCTGATCATTTCACTGATTTGCAAGTTAGGAAAGACAAAGGAAGTTAGTTGCTTAAATAATTTTACAAGTTATCCTGCTTCTAATTAATGTACTACTTTTGTTATTATAGCTATATATTTTTGCATAATCGATGTATATAGTAAAATATGTTGTTGTTGTTGCTTAGTTTAAGTCATGTCCAACTCTTTCCAACCCCATGAACAGTAGCCCGCCAGGCTCCTCTGTCCATGGGATTTCCCAGGCAAGAATCCTGGAGTGGGTTGCCATTTCCTTCTCCAGTGGATCTTCCCAACCCAGGGATTGAACCCCTGTCTCCTGCATTGGCAGGTGGATCCTCTATTGCTGAGCCACCAGGGAAGCCCCTAATATGTTCAGGGAGTCTGTGTTGTGTTAGTCGCTCAATCGTGTCCAACTCTTTGCGACCCCATGGACTGCAGCCCACAAGGCTCCTCTATCCATGTGATTTTCTAGGTTTGGGTTGCCATTCCCTTCTCCAGGGGATCTTCCCGACCCAGGGATTGAACCCGCATCTCCTGCATTGGCAGGCGTGTTCTTTACCATCTGAGCTACCAGGGGAGCCCATCAGGGAGCCTAATAGATATATTATCATATCCCGTCAGACTTGTTTATAAAGGAATGTTGCTCTTAAAAAAAAAAAAAAAAAAAAAAGGGAATGTTGCTCTTTTTATCAATGAGGGGAAAGTCATGGTTGTATTGAATATTCCAGAAAACAAAGTTTTTATTATAGGGTATGTTTTAAAAAATATGTATTTGGTTTCACACATCCCAATTATCTAGTATTTATTTTGAGAATTAAAAAAAAAAACGTGTATTAATGCCTCTAAATGTGCCAGAAAAGAAGGTGGAAAGGTCTTCTTTGAAGATTGTTAGATATGAAGCAGTTTTTCTTCTTTAGAACTACATACATTGCATTTTTATAGCTGCATAGATACTAATTCTTGAATCTAAGTTACTGACATAATTTATAACATGAATTGCATCTTTAAAGCTCTAGTTTACTTGAGATAATACTTAACTTTTAAATTTTCTTAATCTACTTAGTAATAAACCTCAGTCAAGCTTCCTGTTGGAGTGGTCACTATTGGTTTAGCCATATAGAAATGCTGATGTTATTTAGTCATTTTCTGTTTAGATAGTAGTTATACCTGTTAATAATAATAAATAAAATTAATGAATTAATTTTCTGGTTGAGGATGGTGAAGGCATGAAGGTGTGTATAACTGAGACAACACAACCCTAGAAACAGTTGTGCTTCCACTTGGGGCTCAGGTGGGAACAGAGCAGGGCAGGACAAGACCATCTGAGCCATTAAGCGATAGGAACATAAAACAGAGAATGTCTCCTTCCATCCTAAATAGTCTCATCTACATGTGTGGGTTTACTGGGATGAATTTTATTTAATACCGTGTATTTAGTCATTTTTAAAAATGTATTTCTGTTCACTTTGGTCTCTCTGCCTAGGACAATAGCAGAAGCCTGTTGTCATATATCGTGTCATATTATCTTCGCAATTTTGATGAGGTGAGATAATGTTCATAGAGTCACATTTTGTTATTCCTTGTTGTTGAGCGATGTGGTCGTGTTTGATGTTGTCTGTCATTGCTGCTGCTGTTCTGTCCTCATTTATTTAAATGTTCTGTGCTTCGTGCTGACCAGGACGCTGGGAAAGAACAATGTGTGTTTCCACTGCCTGAACCCCAGGACCTCTTTCAGGCCTCGCAGATGAAGTTTGAAGATTTTCAAAAAGACCTCAGAAAACTCAAGAAAGACCTGAGAGGTAACTTACAATGTTAAGGAAACTCAGTTGTTATTTATGCTTCTTTAATGAGAGAACAGATTTTTTCAGTGTTTCTAAAGAAAGTAAACATCAATGTAAATAAACATTTTCATATATGGCAAAAGAAAAATTTTACAAGTAATCTTATTCTTTTGTTGTTTAAAAAGCAAACGTGTATTAGAAATCTATGTATGAGAAATCTAGTTATTTAATCGCACTTGGTTGTTTGAATAGCAGCCTCTTTCATCAGGGACAAATTTTATTGTCTTACTTCCACCTTATGTTCAAGAATATTTGTACATTTATCATGTCTTGTTAAAAGACACATATTTCCTCCCCACCCGCCCTTGGTATACTTGCCTAAGATTTTGTGGTATGTAAACTTTCCTGGGAAGAAAACATTTTTTCATGTATTTGGTTAAAAATAAATGCATGTGTAATGGTTTATTGTTATTGTTCAGTTGCTAAGTCATGTCTGACTCTTTGTGATTCCATGGACTGCAGCACACCAGGCTTTCCTGTCCTTTACTGTCTCTCAGAGTTTGCCCACAGTCATGTCCAGTGGGGCTTCCCAAGTAGCACTAGTGGTAAAGAACCCAGCTGACAATGCAGGAGACAGAATAGATGCAGGTTCTATCCCTGGGTTGGGAAGGTCACCTGGAGAAGAGCATGGCAGTCCACTCCAGTATGCTTGCCTGGAGAACCCCCATGAACAGAGGAGACTGGCTGGATACAGTCCACAGGGTCTCAAAGAGTCAGACACCACTGAATCAACTTAGCACAGCACGCATGTCCATTGAATTGGTGATGCCATCCAACCATCTCATTTCTGTCACCCCTTCTCTTACTGCCCTCAGTCTTTCCAGCATCAGGGTCTTTTCCAGTGAGTCAGCTCTTCGCATCAGGTGCCCAAAGTATTGGAGCTTCAGCTTCAGCATCAGTGAATATTCCAGTGAATATTCAGGATTGATTTCCTTAAACTGACTGGTTTAATCTCCTTGGTGTCCAACTGATTCTTTAGTCTTCTCAATTGTTAGTTGAGAAACCTTAGATCATTTTGAAGAGACTTTGAAATTCTTCAGAATGGTAAATTTAAAGTAATGCACAAAAGCAAATAGTTTACAATTTTTTATTTTTTGTAAATAAAAATCCTTTCATCTGTCCTACCTTTATAAATGAGGTACAGTTAGCTTATAATATTATTATTAGTTTCAGGTGTACAACTTAATAATGACAAAGGTCCATATGGTCAAAGCTATGATCTTTCCAGTGATCATGTACAGACATGAGAATTGGACCATAAAGAAGGCTGAGCACTGAAGAATTGATGTTTTCAAATTGCAGTGATGGAGAAGACTTTTAAGAGTCCCTTAGACAGCAAGGAGATCAAACCAGTCAATCCTAAAGGAAATCAACCCTGAATACTCATTGGAAGGACTGATACTGAAGCTCCAATACTTTGGCCACCTGATGTGAAGAGCCAGTTCATTGGAAGAGACCCTGAGGGTGGGAAAGATTGAGAGCAGGAGAAGGGAGTGACAGAGATGAGATTGTTGGATGGCATCACGGATTCAATGGACATGAACTTGGACAAACTCTAGGAGATAGTGAGGGTTGGGGAAGCCTGGCGTACTGCACTGAACAACAAGAGAATTTTCATATTTTATGCACCAGCGTTATTACAGTGTTATATTCCCTATGCTGTACCTTGCATCCCTATGACTTATTTATTTTGTAACTGGCAGTTTGTGCCCCTTTAATCCCTTTCACCTATTTCACGCACCTACTTTATCTTCTTTTCATGAAGTTTCTTCATTTATGGAGTTGAGAATACCACAACTTTCAATTTAAGCCTCTTTCTCACTATTTAAGCATAGTCAGGGAGGACATTTATGTGAGATTTTCATTGCATGTTGTATCACTAGATGAGAAGAGGCTGATTTACCCCAGAAGCCAAAAAGATGATACAACTTCTTAAAGAGATTCTATCCTAGTGATTTATAATCAAATTTATAGAGTTGTTATATTCTGGTCATAGATGATTTTATATAGATTTAAATCACCATAGTAACATTATATAGTTTTCTTATAGTTCCTAAATACTTAAGATGTATTGTGTGCCTGAGGCATGATAGACCTTGGCTAGGTGCCGTGAGTACCAAAGATGCAAGCATCACTGTCAAGGAGGAGTGAAATCCTGTCCCTTAGGTGCTCCCCCGAGAGCATCAAATATGGGTGCTCATGGATTGATTATATTCTTTGCAGTTGAAGATGGTGAAGCTCTATACAAGCAGCGAAAAAAAAAAAAAGAGAGAGAGAGACCAGGAGCTGAATGTGGCTCAGATCATGAACTGCTTATTGAAAAATTCAGACTTAAATTCAAGAAAGTAGGGAAAACCTCTAGGCCATTCAGGTTTGACCTCAATCACATCCCTTATGATTATACAGTGGAAGTGACAAATAGATTCAAGGTATTAGATCTGATAGACAGAGTGACTGATGAACTATGGACGGAGGTTCGTGACACTGCACAGGAGGCAGGGATCAAGACCATCCCCAAGAAAAAGAAATGCAAAAAGGCAAAATGGCTGTCTGAGGAGGCCTTACAAATAGCCAAGAAAAGAAGAGAGGCTAAAGGCAAAGGAGAAAAGGAAAGATATACCCATCTGAATGCAGAGTTCCAAAGAAGACCAAGGAGAGATAAGAAAGCCTTCCTAGTGATCAATGCAAAGAAATAGAGGAAAACAATAGAATGGGAAAGACTAGAGATCTCTTCAAGAAAATTAGAGATACCAAGAGAACATTTCATGCAAAGATGGGCTCAATAAAGGACAGAAATGGTATGGACCTAACAGAAGCAGAAGATATTAAGAAGAGGTGGCAAGAATAAACACAAGAACTGTAACAAAAAGGTCTTAAGGACCCAGATAACCATGATGGTGTGATCCCTCACCTAGAGCCAGACATCCTGGAATGCAAAGCCAAGTGGACCTGAGGAAGCATCACTATGAACAAAGCTAGTGGAGGTGATGGAATTCCAGTTGAGCTATTTCAAATCATAAAACATGATGCTGTGAAAGTGCTGCACTCAATATGCCAGCAAATATGGAAAACTTAGCAGTGACCACAGGACTAGAAAAGGCCAGTTTTCATTCCAATCCCAAAGAAGGGCAATGCTGAAGAATGTTCAAACAATTGCACTACTGAACTCATCTCACATGTTAGCAAATTAATGCTCAAGATTCTCCAAGCCAGGCTTCAAAAGTACATGGACCAAGAACTTCCAGATGTTCAACCTGGATTTTTTTAGTAAAGACAGAGGAACCAGAGATCAAATTGCCAGCATCCACTGGATCATAGAAAAAGCAAGAGAATTTCAGAAAGACATCTACTTCTGCTTTATTGACTACACTAAAGCCTTTGACTGTGTGGATCACAACAAACTGGAAAATTCTTAAAACAGATGGGACTATCAGATCACTTTACCTGCCTCCTGAGAAATCTGTATGCAGGTCAAGAAGCAACAGTTAGAACAGACATGGGACAACGGACTGATTCCAAACTGGGAAAGGAGTATGTCAAGGCTGTGTATTGTCACCCTGCTTATTTAATTTACATGAAGAGTACATCATAAGAAATGCCAGGCTGGATGAAGTACAAGCTGGGATCAGGATTGCCTGAAGAATATCAATAACCTCAGATATGCAGATGACACCCTTCTTATGGCAGAAAGAGAAGAGGAACTAAAGAACCTCTTGATGAAGGCGAAAGAGGAGAGTGAAAAAACTGACTTAAAACTGAACATTCAAAAAACTAAGATTATGTCATCTGGTCCCATCACTTCATGGCAAATAGATGAGAAAACAATGGAAGCAGTGACAGACTTTATTTTCTTTGGCTCCAGAATCACCTCAGATGGTGACTGCAGTCATGAAATTAAAAAACACTTGCTCCTTGGAAGAAATGCTATGAGAAACCTAGATAGCATATTAAAAAGCTGAGACTTTACTTTGTTGACAAAGGTCTGTCTAGTACTTTTAAGTCAGCAAATCTGGAAATTTCAGCAGTGGCCATGGGACTGAAAAAAGTCAGTTTGCATTCCAATCCCAAAGAAGGGCAATACCAAGAATGTTCAAACTACCTTGTAGTTGCACTCATTTTACATGCTAGCAAGGTTATGCTCAAAATCCTTCAAGCTAAGCTTCAGCAGTACATGAAATGGGAACTTCCAGATGTACAAGCAGGGTTTTGAAGAGGCAGAGGAACCAGAGATCAAATGACCAACATTCACTGCATCATGGAGAAAGCAAGAGAGTTCCAGAAAAACATCTACTTCTGTTTCATTGACTACACGAAAGCCTTTGACTGTGTAGTTCACAACAAACTGGGAAATTCTTAAAGAGATGGGAATACCAGACCACCCTATCTGTCTTCTGAGAAATCTGTATGTGAGTCAAGAAGTAACAGAACAGTACATGGAACAATTGACTGGTTCCACATTGGGAAATGAGTAGGACAAGGTTGTATATTGTCACCCTACTTATTTAACTTATATGCAGAGTACATTATGCAAAATGCCAGGCTGGATGAAACACAAGCCTGGATGAAGCACAGGCTGGAATCAAGATTGCCAGGAGCAATATCAGCCACCTCAGATATGCAGATGATACCATTCTAATGGCAGAAAATGAAGAGGAACTAAAGAGCTTCTTGATGAGGGTGAAGGAGGAAAGGGTGAATGAGGAAAGCTGGCTTAAAACACAACATTCAAAAAACTAAGATCTTGGCTTCCAGTCCCATCACTTTATGGCAAACTGAAGGGGGAAAAGTGGAAACAGTGCCATATTTTATTTTGGGGGGCTCCAAAACCACTGTGGATGGTGACTGCAGCCATGAAATTAAAATATAGTTGCTCCTTCACAGCAAACTTTGAGAAACGTAGGAAAACTTTGAGAAACCTAGATAGCATATTGAAAAGCAGAGACATCATTTTGCCAACA